TAGCGGGCCGACGGGCCGAGCCGGCCCATGCGAGCTTGTGGCCCGGGCTTGTGGTCCGGGCTGGGTCAGCCCTTCCCCCCCTCGGTCCAAGCCGGACCGGCCCGGAAAGCCCGCACGAGCCAGGTCTATTTTTACCCGGGCTGTACCCGATTTTCTCCGGCCCGCCCGTTTTTACACCCCTAATATCTTCCTAGTTAAGAAATGACAATTTTGACAATTGAGAGTCGAAAATTGAAGCAACTTGTAAATTTATAATGTTTTACTTGATTCTTCACACATACATCATTTTTGCATTTAATAAGTAGATTGTGGTCTTCGTATTGTTAACTTGAAGCTGTTTATGGATTTAATACAATGATTCAAATCCTGAGATAAATTGCAGGTTATCTAACCAAAACTTCGTGCATACTTGCTTGTTGATATATGTTATAGTTTTGTTTGAGACTAAACAAATGTTCTACTTTGAAGTATTTGATAAATGTATAAAATATACTTATCTAGACCTTTAATTACAAAATAATTTTTTGTATGTTTCGTTTGTTAAGTAAAGCTCGAGATCGAAAGTGAAATGGGGATGTCAATGAGCCGAGTTGCGAGCTGAGACTCGAAGCTCGGGCTCAGCTCGAGTAAAAATGGTTCGAGCTTTTTTTTGCCCGAATCAAGCTTTTGCTCGGCCAAAAAATTTACTTTTAATCCGAGCTTTCGGCTTGGGCCTTATCGAGCAAGCCGACTCTTTTTTTTTTTAATTCGTGACAAATCTAAATTTTTTTTAAAGTATTTAAAATTTGTACAATTTATACGAATTATAAATTAAATAAAAGTTACAATCCTCCTCATTTTTTCTGGCTTGGGATCGGCTACAATCATCGTAGGTAGAGTTAAAATTGTACACGAAATTTTCTTGAAACAAATATATTTAAAAACTACGTATTTTTTTAAAACTAATCAATTTAAAAATTTACAATATCTAGCATTGTATCTATTGCAACTCTTTGACCATTATACTATCAACTTGTTCTTGAATACGTAGTTCTGCACATTCCGAGTCCTTCAAGCATATTAAAACCTCCAATATATCTTCTTTAGTCTTGATTGTTAGTTTGATAAAATTCGACCACCAAAACTAAATGTAGCATCGATGCTACCGTACACCAGAGTTGCTAGTAGATCATGTGTAATTTTTTATACAATTGGATATTGCCTTTCGTTACACCTATATCATAATAGAAGACTAAATTCCTGTAATTCTTTTTGTTGTAACATACTACGAATGTCCACGCACATATACCTAACTAAGTCAAAGGAAATTTCAAGATTTGTACAACTGACGTCTATCGCTTTAGATATTGATGAACTAGAACTAAATGAGGGAACACTTACACTGGTATCCAAATAATTCCATATATCATCTGAATTTGTTGAAATATTTCTTGAAAAAAAACTTTGGAAAGTAGAACTACCATGACATCTTTTTTCAGCGTAATAGTTATACATTTCACATAACATAGATTCGTTATGCACATGTGATAATTTTATATTCATGAAATTTGAAATCCCCTTTATAGTATACATAGATTCTATATACACATGTGACAATTCCAAATTTATGAAATTTGAAATCTCCTTTATAATAGATTTTGTGCCATCTAAATTAAGTCGATGGCCTATCATCGAAGCTAAAAGAAATAAATAGAGCAATTCTTCTCAATATTTACAAAATTTTAACTCCATCAACAAAAATTGACAAACTCTTGTATCTGTGAAATATAGAAAAAGTGTTTTAAAACAAGTGAAAATGTAGGGCAATAAAAAACATTGCATTCCTTTGTGGTATCGAAAAAAGTTTTTAAAAATTTCTTCACACAAAATGCAAGAGACAATTCCCTATCTTCCAAATTATGTTTGGGTCTCAATCTTTCAATAGCAGCTTGTTTTCTTTTGTTATATAATTTTATATTATCTGAATGAAAAGTATTTCTATAATAAGAAGTATACCTGGATTGGAAATAATTCTGCACGAGCAGAGTAAAGTGTATTGATTCTATCATCGTAAGCAGCATTCCTGCTGCAGTCATTCCTTCACGAAATCTTTCATTTGAATATACAAAAGTGGAAAGAGTAGAACCAAAACCGCTAAACACTAATTTGATATGTCCATAATATGTGCCTATTCAAATGCGTTATGCTTGAACCGGGCTTCCAACTAAGTTTTTTGCCACAGTTATTGCAGCTTTCCAAATATCAACTCTATTTTGATCACCAAAATTTTTACGTGTCATATATTGCCAACAATCCAAGGATTCTTTTTCGACCTTTTAGTCACTAGTACTTCTTCATTTTTTTATCCTCCAAATCAATTAGAACATTTTGAGATGCATCGTAGCCGGATGGAGTGCTCAAACTACCCTTACACTAAATCTCATCACTAGTAAAAATTCATTTATAACTATTATAGCAAAGATACTAAATATTAGAGTAAAATAAATTGAATATTAGAGCAAAGAAATTAGAGATTGAAGTTGACACTAGAGTAAGTTTAAGCTGATTGAAGTAAATTGATATAAAACTCAAAATTTTATCGCATATTCATAACAAAAAATATATATCTGTTTCAATCAAATTTGAATTTCAAATTCAAAATATGATTTGCACAAGACAAATTACATGTAGGATACAAGACAACTATGTGTAGCCTTTAGAAAAGGCAGCTACAGCTGCCTCGACACTAAGACGGTTGAGTTGTAGGCAACCTGCACTAGTAGCCGTAAAGTTTTTGTTTTATTTTTATTTTTACTTTTTAATTGTTTTTCTCACTTATATTTTTTAAAGTTTTGTATAATATTATTCTTTTTTCTTTTAGGTTCGACTTGGCTTGTTACGGGTAGCTCTGGCTCGAGCAACGCTCTAAAATAGGGACTCAGTTCGAGCCACGAGCCGGCCTGGCTCGAGCTTTTTTTGAGCCGAGTTACGGGCCATCCAATCCATATTGACACCCCTAAAGTAAAATTAGAAGAAATGAGCGAAAACGAACAAAAAAAAATAATAATAATAAATCTAAAGTTCTGAGATCAAAGTACAAATATTCAATAGTTGATTTAAACCACAAAATATTGATTAAAGATCATAGGGGAACAATTAGACGCAATTAGAAGTTAAATGAGTAAACCATTGATCACAGTATTTTCACCAATCCAGATTATAAGCTAGAAATTGAAACATATTTCTGGTATAGTAAATGTTCGAATTAGAAATATTATGTTTTTAGAGTAATTGTATCCCTTTTAGATAGATTTGTAACAAATTTTGAATAGCCTCTACAAGGTATTGGATGAGAATGTTATATCAAAAATATTGATGGATACGTAGAGACATAACCATGCGCGACGCGAATGCAGTTTTTCTTATTTGATTGGAATTCTTTTGAAACCCAATTTGGATGCGTTTCTTGACTTAATTTCACCTTTTATAAGTCAAGAACATGAGCAGCCATTAAAGGGACCTTTTATATCATATTTTTCATCCATTATTGAAATCAAAGAGAGGCAAAATTATTTTGCTTTTGGACAAATTACAAGGTAGCTACAAGATTTAATTCAATTGACGATCCAACTTGATTCTTGGGCAAAGAAGAAGGTGCAACTAGAATAAATCAAGAATTCATTGAAGAGATTCAAGAACTCAAGATTTATCCTCTTTTTCTTCATTCATCAATAAATTGAGTGATGATATATCAATTTATTATGATTTCTTATAATTTTATAATGCTAGGCTAAATTTTCCATTGTTAAGACATTGATGAATCCTTATTATAAAAATTTTAATATAATTTCAATAATTTAACGTCCTATATGTATTTATTCTTGAATTATATTAGATTTAATGACTTTCAGCCCTTGTTTGCCCCCCATTAAATTAAATTTTTGGGGGGTAAATAATTTTTAGAATAGTGATTAATGGGAGATGTGTGGTTGAAAATTTTTTGATTTGTGTGTATTATTATTTTATTTGATGAATGTATGGTTGAGATGAAGAGATAGAAAAAAGTAATGTAATGGAATGTAATATAATGGGGGCCAAACATGGGCTCAATTAACTAGCTACTAATTGAATTGTTTTGTGATATCTATTGTTATTGAGAGAGACAATAGAATAGATAGGAAATTATAACAATTGTTGTAAAGATCAATGGAGGATGGAGATAAATTGTCATACTTTGCATGATTTTTATAAATGTTAAAGCATTTTTCATGCATGCTTTCATGTTCTTATTTTTCATAGAGATGTAGAAAAGTTACATGAGAAGATAGATTTAATTATACTAGAAAGAAATTATTAATTAACTTAAGAATATTGATCAACAGGAATGCACACATATTGTCGTTATTGAATTGCATTAAAATAGATTAATAAAGACAATTCGAAGTTTTAGTAATCATTCCATTTAAGCGTTACAAAAATTTCATAAATTAGTATTACAAAAATTTCATAAATTAGTCATTAGAATCATTAAATTAGGTAGTTTAATTAAATAAATTAGTATAGAATTAATAATGAAAACTTGACCGTTCAATTAGAGTTAGAGTTTGTTTGGAATGGATTAAAATCGAAAAACTAAACGTTATTGTTGACTTTTATTAGACGAGTGAGATTCAATAACGGCTATATTTTCAATTTTAATTGAATTTTAAGCTCTCCCAAACAAACTATTAATATTAATTAATCATAAATTAAATATATAATCCTCGTAGCAATGATACTTTATTCGCTGTTATATTATTTGTTTGTACACTTGTAGAATCTCGTACGATCAACTACCCAACCAGAGATTTGCTTGAAAAAACAAACTCGACCACAAGCAAATTACACCAAGCTCAAAAGAGCCCTCAAAGACCAACTACCATCTGTATGCATATTAGGACCTAAAGGCTCAACGCAAGGGAACTCTAGCAACAAATCAGAAGGGAAACTGAGTGGCATTTTCAAATGATTCCCAAATATTTTTATTGGCTACAAACACTGCATCACAAATAATATCAATTATATTCACAATTATGCTATAGTGCCAGAATCATCGACATAATCATTTACATAATGCCACATCACATTTTTTCATTGTTTAAAACAGTCGGTTTTTATATCAAATCATCTACTTCCACATAGGATTATGACAATGCATCTGGTAAAATTTCATCTGACAAAATGGAAAAATCCTTATATTCGCACATACACAAATTTAGATCCACCATAAACATCAACAGGCTTAAAGAATCTTTTCGACTAACAAACTATCAGCAAAATAAATATAGCCCCACATGACTGAACTCAAACATAAAAATATTACAATTGCACGAAAACCAAAAGAAATTACATTTAGCAGAAACATCAAGTGTTCAAATTTGAATCTCATTTACCACAAAATGGTAGATTCATTCCTAATGGAAGTCTCCACGTAAACTGATCGAAGGTTAACAACCAATAAAAAATAAACACCTAAAGTTATTCTAACAACAAAGCCACTCACTCTTCCTCAACTATGGTTCCCTTCTCGCTTACATAGATACCATCAAGGAACTTCCGGATGTCCTTGTTCTTCACATGGCATTTCTGTCAAATGAAACACTTGCAGTCTCAGGTACAAAATAATATATTAGTTTCAACAACATTATGAATATGGACGAGTGCATGTACAATATATGCATTATACATATGCAAGAATATCCACCACCTGTCTACATGTCTTCATCAATGTAGAGAAAGTACGCAAGTATGTGGTTACCTGGTTTATCAATGCACCGGATCGCGAAACAAGCTCAATGTCATTCCCATCTAAAATCAATTCATCCTTAACCTTCTCAGATCGGAGAATAGAGACACCATCAAGCATATCCACCTTCCTAACCTGATTTAATCAACAAGTTAATGACAAACTGAACTCAGATTCGGTCCCAACAAATTCATATACAAGCAACATTTCCATGTACTTAATTAGCATTTGAATAAATTCTGACAGCAATCAGCAAGAATAGAATGAAACTGCAATATAAGTATGCCAAGACAAGTAATTTTCACTGCAAACAAGAAACCCATTTTTTTTTCCTAATACAAGAATAAAAACATAAAAGCATTGGCAATTTGTTCTTATCTAATGGCGATTTTATAAATGATTGAAATCAACATTAATACATACTTCAAGAATAAGCTTCAAAGCACCACATACTGAATAGCAGTGCATAGAAACTCACAAACAGTTTTTCATTTGAGCCTCACAGTACAGGGGCAAATAACAAATAACTGAAATAATCTTTGAAAAATTCAATGACAAAGTAAAACCACAAATGAAAGCAAATAAAACCAAGTTTCCAAAATCAACAGCTTAACAAAGGTTCTCACTACTAGGCTGTCCGTGGGTCGGTTCGGTTCGGTTCTGAGGAGACCCGAACCGACCCAAAACTTTCGGGTATTTAATAAATGGACCCGTCGGGTCCAAATATAATTTTGGAACCGTTCGGGTTCGGTTCCGTTCGGTTCGGTTCGGGTCGGTTCCGTTCCGTTCGGTTCCGTACCATANATTATGAAATAATCTAATTTATTTAATTAATTTGCTAATTTGTTTTAAAAAAAATAAAATAATTTAATTAATTCAATATAAATAATAAAAAAATTATTTAGTTTCGGTTCTTATTCGGTTCTTCGATTCTTGGTCTAGACCCGAGACTCGACCCAAACCCATCGGTTCTCGATTCGGGTACCCGTTCGGGTATTTAATTTATGAAGAACCGCTCGGTTCGGTTCGATTCGGTTCGGGACTTTTGAACACCCCTACTCACTACGGTACTACGGGTTCAATAAATTGAAGAAATAGTCATTTTCTATTCCAAATAACAACTCAGATACAAAATGGCAGAAACCCAAATAAGTTCCTAAGTATAGCCAATATAAAAATCCACGCTGAATTAAATTTAAAAAAAAAGAAGAGAAAAGGTCAATTCAAATTAGCCAAAAAAAAAAAAAGGCCAAAGGATATTAAAACAAATTAATCAGAAAAATTACATATACAATCTAGAGCATTAACAGATTCGTAAACATAATTATATAATTCAGACCTTCTTCTCGCCCAGGAAGTTACGGATCTCAATAGACTTGCTGCCATTAGTGATGGAAGCATTGATAGGAAAGTGAGCATACACAAACCGCATCTTATAGCGGTAACCCTTGGTAACACCGATGATGAGATTGTTGACGTGGCTGAGAGCTGTGCGGATGGCGGCGGTGGTCTTTCTGGACCCGAACCAGGCGTCGACCTTCAGCTTCCGTTTTCCGGTCTCCTCATCTGTGATTAGCTGAAAATCTAGATTCAAATGCTTAAAATCCCTGGTCAGCTTACCCCTAGGACCCTCCACCTCGATCACCTTCGCCTTCACCTTAATATTCACTCCGTCGGGAAGGTCCATAGTTTCCGATGAGAGTATCGTCTTCATCTTTTCGCGCCCTGATTTCCACACCCTTTTAGTGTGTGCCGGTGCGGAAAAGAGACCAGCGCAGAGGAACCTCGAGAGTGGTAATATCCAATAGGGTTGGTTTTTAGTGTGAAATGTGGTGTGCCCTAGATGTGTTTTGGGCCGTAACACAGGGTCCATAAAACGATAACCCAGTTGAATTTTGAGGACATGTATTCACTATAGGGGAAAAATTCATAAATCTTACTTTTAAGTATATACTATTTCAAAAATAAAAAAATAATTTTTAAATTTCAAAAATCAAATATTTGATATATATATATACCGTTCTGACGACTTCTCCAATTCCGGCGATCGTTTCAGCGACTTTTCCGATGATCGTTCCGCAGTCGATTTATTTCAACGACTAATCCGATTCCGGCAATTGTTCCAACTCCGACGACTGCTCCGAACCGTGATTCTACAAAACAACATGTGACCCGTTTATATTGATTTGTGATCTATAATTAACCTGTGACTGTGATCGATGGCCTTAACGACTGTGACCTCAAACTTGTGATTATGACCTTAACAACGAAATAATTAACCACAGTTCTATACAATATGGTCGTAGTTATCAAATTAATTGATCATATAGATCTATGACCCGTCTGTATTGATTTGTGAATTTTATAGGTCACAGATTATTTCTCGACCACGAATCAAAAATTTTAGAAGTCACCGATTATTTCGAGGTCACAAATCAATAATTTTAAAGGCCACAAATTATTTTATTGGTCACGGATCACAAAATCAACATTTTTCTCGGTCACAAATCAAAAATTTTATAAGTCACGGATTAATTTTTCGATCACAACTTAATTAACTGTGAGTCACCGTTCGAATTTTAAGGGTCCCAATTAACTAATTGGTCACAAGTGACCAAATAGTTGGTCACAGGTCAACTATTGGGTTACATACCAGCACCACCTCCAATGTCTCTACCACTTGTGGCCACTCTCACATGATGGCCGACTACGCCACCACCACACCACCAACACCGCCACCAACAACCACCTCTACCTCTACCGCCACCAAAAACCATCACCACCAAACATCACTACCACCGCTACCACCACCACAACCACCAAACCCACACAACCACCACTACATCCAACAACAACATCACCACCGTTGTCGCCAAAACCAAAAACACCACCACCTCGCCACCGCAGCCAATATCACAAATCACTGCCAACAAAACAACAAACACCAAAAATCACCATCGAAACCGTCGTCACTCCATAGTCAAATCGCCACCTAACCACTAACACCAAAAAAACCATCACAACAACCACCAACTGCACCACCAACCATCACCACCACCTAATCCCCCCTCCAAAAAAAAGTGACGTCATCACAACCTCACCACCGCAGCCAACTCCAACCTCATCAACAGAAACAAAAACTAAAAAGTCTGCACCACCTTATTTCCACCACCACCTCCGACCACTGAACAATAGATCGCATAAAAAACAAAAAAAAATTATAGATTATGGTAGATCGACCATAGCAAATTCGGTGCTGCAAGCGATGCTCGAAGGTGTCGTAGTGAGTGCCGGTACCGCTCACAGCCTCGAGCTCCGCTGTGGTCTTCATCGACGGCAGCCACGTGCGATGGAGACCGGAGATGAGAGAGAGAGAGGAGGCGAGAAGAGAGAGAAATAGGGAGATAAGAGTAGTAAATGATTTTTAGGGTTTGGGGATGAAATTTGTATATATAATATTTAATATTTAAATATCAAATATCTGATTTTTGAACAAATTATTAATATTTAATTAAAATTAAAAAAAACCTGTATCTATATATAAAATATCTGATTTTTTAAAATTAAAAGTTGACATCTGATTTTAGAACTTGAATCTTGAAAAGTAGGGATTCCTATAGTTTCCACTTAACTATATGGGAACAATACATAACTAAGATGTTTAATTTTACCAATTTCAAATTTAAAAACTTAAGTTTAAAATTTTAGAATTCAGATATTTTTAAATTTTATTTATAAATAAATAATTAAACATATATTAAGATCATAATTCCATATAATTTGGTCACAAATTCTATATAATTGGTCATATGTTATTAATTTGTCACAAATCACAAATTTTACACGTCACGATTCAAAAACTTTTTACGTCATAATTTGTTCATCGGTCTCAAATAAAAAATTGAAATGTCACAAATTATTTTACAATACAATTCAAAAATTTTATATGTCACAATTTGTTCATCGGTCACAAATCAAAAATTTTATAAGTCATAAATTATTTTACGGTCACAAATTAGAAATTTTACAGGTCACAATTTAGAAATTTTATAAATCACAATTTGTTCATCGGTCACAAATAAAAAAATTACAACTTATTCATCGGTCACAAATCACAAACATTATAAGTCACAACTTAGTAGACAGTCACAAATTAACAATTTTTTAGGTCAAAAATTAATTTTTGGTCACAATTTATATTTTTCATTGGTCACATATTGTTTATCGGTCACAAATTAATTAATTTAATGGTCACAAACGACCAAATAATCTGTGGCCACCACCAATATTTATGACACAACCGTACCGCTGCCTCACCACCACCACCACCGTCGACCCCAGAATCACCACCACCTCCCGACCAAAACATACCATAGATCTGCTTCGCTTGCAGATCTCACAGATCATCACCACACAAACAATCTGAGCCCATCGTGACCACACCCAACCACTAGTCAGCACCATCGCACTACCACCACCGCACATAGCACCCTTACCATACAACCGCACCCAATCATCGAACACAGCACCATCGAACCAAACCACTGCACCGCACACCACCATTGCACATCACCATCGCACCAAACACTGCACATCACTATCTCACCACCGTCAATAGTGCCAAATCAACCACATCACCAGCGTTGGATCCACCACCAACAGTGCCAGATCTACCTGTACCACCGCCAACAAAAAATACACAAAAAACTCTGGTCACACCGCGCACTAGATGGCTACCCAAAACTCTGACCCAATTTTCCTCAGATCGCACCAGATCGCAACAGCAAAGCAAAAAACTCTTGAAGAAAAAGGGTAGTTAGGCTGCTGGTTCTGTAATGTCTTTAACTTGTCCTCTCCACTTGACACAACTCTCTCTTTTTCTCTCTCTCTCTCACCCTCACTCTCATGCACACATACATAGTGCGTACAACAGTCTCAAGACCAAAATGGGGAATAGCACATTAGGCTCTTTTGCCTTTTGTTTCAGTTTTTCCTATCATGTCGTTTGTGTCTGCTCAGAACTGCAAAATGGGGAAGAATCATACTTTGAATTTCTTGTTATTATTTGATGCTCTCTATCTTCTTTTCATGGCTTGAAACACCACACTTCAAATATGTATTTCCTGTTGATTTTTGTTGAAGTCCTCTATAAATTCTTATAGTTTTTGGAAGTGTTGGGCACCAGATCACACCAAAAAAACTCTGGTCACGCCGCGCACCAGATCGCAGTAGCGCTTGGAAGTGTTGGGCGGCTATGGAGACAAACCGCACGCAATGGCCCGAACTTTGCCTCCATTTTTTTGTTTTGATTTCTCTGGTAGAGAGAGAGAGAGAGAGAGAGAATGGGCGGGCGACGGTGGTAAAGAGAAAGGGAGGTACAGTAGAGAGAAAAAAAATGGAAGGGATGAAATAATTAGGGTTTTGGTGTGTATTATTGGGTAAAATGAATTTGTATATTTAATTTTATAATTTAATTATTAAAATTTTAATTATCATCTAATTTTTGAAATAAAAACTCGTTAATCTGAATTTTGAAATTGAAAGTTTAAAATTCTGGTATGGTGTAATTACCTAACTATATTTTCATAATAAGCCTATGTTTAAGTCCCCCGTTTAGCCCTATTTGTTTCCATTACATTACATTAATTTTTTCTCCCTCTTCATTTCAACCATATATTCATCAAATAAAATAATATTACACACAAATATAAAACTTTCCATTACTTTTCTACCACACATTCTCCCATCAATTACTATTCCAAAAATTTTCAAGACCCCAAAATGGGGGCCAAACAGGGGCTAACTATCATTACTTTGAAAAAATAAATTTTTGGATAACAATTTTAGGAGAATATGTGATTAAAAAGTTAGGATAGATTTACGTTCAGAAAATTTTATTGCGTAAATGTATGGCTGAAAATAAGTACGTAGAAAAAAGAATTTTTAAATAATGATTATCAAACATGGTGCTAAATAATATATTATGGACACCTTTTTTAGTACCATTTATACTACCTTTTTTAAAGTAAAAAATGAAAACAAAAAACACATCTTACACATTAAAATATATTATTTGATAGCACATATCAATCCAACAAATAAGCCCCATTTACAACACAATAAATGAAAAAATAAAGTAATTTCTTGTGAACCACTTCTGTCCAAAATCGAAATCCCCAAATCATTGTTTCAAGAAAATCTCAAATCATCAATATATCATGCACATTCAACACCCATATCACGAGATATGTAGTCTATTTTTCAAAAAGTGTTCTCAATCATTCAATTTTATGTGAAACATTTCTTAACAAAATAAAAACCCCCAAATTGGTTCCAAAAAACCTCAAATCATCACACATATCACTTACCTTAATCACCCTTATCGCGAGATTTGTGGTATATATTTTCAAGATGTGGTCTTTCAGAATTCATTGTTTGTGATGACGTGGTTTTTTCGTTCATGAATATAAATCCCATTTTGAAGTAATAGTTTATCCCATCATCGAGGAAAGTTTAGGAAGTGATCTTGGAAGATTTCAAAATATTACTGAGCATTCCGATTGAGTAATGGCAACACCTAACAGGCGTATGAAGTTGCGTTCTAAAAATTAGTAGGCTCTCAGTCAAACATTCACCAATAATGGGCATTCCAAATCCTCCACTATCCCTGAGTTCAATCTTCATCCAGCAAATAGAAGATGAGTTTTGTCTGGT